CAAAAAATTGTTAACCTTTTGCTAACCTATTTTATGCCAGTGTCCGGCTGGATGCTTTTCCAAGAATTTTCTAGCATTTCCTCTTGTTTTTGGGTTCCCAGATTTCCTCAAAAAATTGTGAACCTTTTGCGAACCGAGTTTATGCCAGTGTCCGGGCTGGTCGCGGCGTGGCCCCGGCCAATGCCCGTGCAAGTGGATCGGCATGTTTCTTCGAAAGCGAGGGAACCCAAAATACAAGACGGAGCCCCTAGACAACGGCAGAATGGTGCCCAGATTTCCCTAAAAAACTGTTAACCTTTTGCTAACCTATTTTATGCCAGTGTTCCCGGCCAATGCCCTTGATTTTTTCTAGGAAGGCTCTTGGCTTTGTTTAGATCCACGGCACGTTTTCTGTTGGCTTTGTAGGATTTTCAAAGGCTTTTCCAGCAATTTCCTAGGACTGCTCTAGGCTTTGTCTAGCTTTTGTCACGTGTTTGGCTGGATGCTTCTCCAAGAATTTTCTAGCATTTCCTCTTATTTTTAGGTTTCCAGATTTCCCCAAAAATTGGTTAACCTATTGCTAACCTATTCTATTCCATTGTTGTACTCATGCCTACTCGCCGGTGGAACGCACCTGGCCGGGACAGCGCTCCTGCCGTCATGGGCCGTAGTGCGTACCGCACCCTACCGACCCGTCATGGCCCATTTCCACACCCTTCCGTCCCCCCCCGCCTCCGGGCCTACCGCACTGCAGACATTCCGCCACGCGCGCGTGCCGCCCTCATGTACATGGCTACGGTCTCTTCCCTCGCTGGCGCGAGAACCCCGCCACCACCTGCCCGAGCTTCCGTTTGCGCTGCTCCGTCCTAGAACCAACACGCCACATGGCGCGGACACGGGCGCCTGACAGGCATGCGAAAATCTTACCAGAGCCTTTCACGTTACCACGGGCACTGGCCGGACCTCGTTCAGCACATGAAAGGCATGAGTACAACAATGGAAGAAAATAGGTTAGCAATTTTCTGAGCAAACCTGGGAACCCAGAACCACCTTTGACATCCTACAACTCCCTTCTACACCCAAACCCCCACGATGTAAATCAAGTGGGATGGCAAAATCTTGGACAATCGGGATTTCGTCACTGCAACAGGGCTCCGGAGGGCTAGGGGAGGTAAGGTCTAAGTCTAAGGCTAAGGCTAAGTCTAACGCTAAGGCTAGGCTACGGCTAACGCTAAGGCTAAGGCTTAAGGCTCAGGCTAACATCGACAGTCACGCCTCACCTCAGGCTAGTCCCTGGGACGACCCTGCCACTAGCTTTTCCCCTTGGGGGTCGGCGGCTGCAGGCGGTAGCCTGGTAAATAATCAACATTTACATTTAAACCTGTCCCAACAAACCATTAGGAATTCTCTGCAAAATAGCCTTTCTCTTTGTTCGTATTCATATTTCCTATTTTCTAGTTCCCTAATTTCATTATGTCATTTAGAGAGGACATGTTATACTTCGACTTTGAACCACTGATGTCAGTTGTATGTGAAAAGTATGTCTCTACATTTTTGGTCAATGAAAGCTGTTTAACAAAAACGTAATAGTTATTCATATTATGTTTTATGACCGGTGTTAAAGTCAGGGGTGAGGAGTCAAACACCACATTGTATAGTATATATACAAGTCTGGGGGCGCAGCAAGAATTCTTGCAAAACACAAAGGCACAGCCAAATCTTAGGGAAACAAAATGATAGGGCCAACATGCATTTCTTTTTGGTCTGCACCTATAGAGAATGTTGGGTAAAACATTGAACGTGCTGTGCCCTTCATTTTGTAAAAAAGATTAAAACAGAAGGTTTTCCAATGTGTGACACCTGATGAGTTGGGGAGGCCCCCAAAAGTGACTCACTTTGTGAAGAAGCTGACCTCATTTTGTAAGGCAGCGGCAGCAGCAGCTCTTTTTTTCTGTAGCAGCTTAATCTAAGCTCCTGTTTTTACTTATATAATTATCCACTCCAAAATGCAGCTATTCGGTGCTACCACCAGTTCGGTTCTGCAGTGGCATCCCTATGTTTCAAAAAAGCGCCTTCTCCAAGAGTTCCAAGTCCATCCTTAGTCTATCCTTAGTGCACAGTACCTTAGGCCAAAACGAATTTGCTTTTACAACATGAGTTTACCGCGTTGTTAGACCCCCTTCACTGTCCCAAACAGGACCTTTACAAAATGCATTTGCAGACCTCCCCATGATCTTGCAGAAAGTAGTCCTTGTCCAAAGTATCCCCGATAAGTTGTTTTAAACAAAGTAAAATTAGTTAAAAGCTGGTACCAGCAGCTATTATTAGCACATTCTGCAAGGATGGTCCATTATAGAATGACCTTTGGAAAGTCATTTTGTAAGAGAACGAGTGGACCATTTTATCAAGGGGCTTTGGAACCCCGTGGGTATGTCTCTTACAAAATGGCAGTTTCTTTCAACATGGAATGGCACATCTATGGTACATCGGTGTTTGATTTTCCTTTATAACATGCATTGGTGCATCCACCACATAGTTTCTGCATCCAACAAGGAGCCAGAATGATAGGCATCATAGCCTCTTACCAAATGACATTCAAACTTCTTATATAATGACGTGGTCTGATCTTATTACCATAGCCATACCTCAAATATCTACAAAATGGGTACTGTCTAAAGTTCTTACAACATGGGCACCCCTATTTCCCATTGTTTTCTTACAAAATGATAGGGGTACAACCCCATGATTTCTTACAAACTGATACCCTGCAGGCAAACAGTTTATCCAAAAAATCGTGAATCCAAGCCCTGGCTGACGTCCAGAACCCCAAGATTCAAGGGCTTGGATTCAAGAAGTTTCCCCCAGAATCTTGAATCCCGCAATCCATCTATATAAAACATTCTAAAACTTTAACCAACAATTGACCTCAGGATGTGCAGAATTCACCGTAAATACCACTGAAAAGTACAAACAGGTAGGTCTCGCGCGGTGCCATTTATATTTGTACAAGGTTGTGACACCTTGTACAAGGTTGTGACACCTATATACTAAGGACTGCGACCGGGACGATGTATGTTGCCAGGGGTCACCATTCCATTGAAGCTGCATACCAAATCCCAATGAAGGCCACCCCAAGCGACTAGCCTTCCATGCAAAGGGAATAAGGACTCTCACCCCTCACAGGCTGTGGCACGGTGTGGCCCTCGTCGGTGCGAGTGGGTTTGGTCCAAATCCCAAATCCACGAAGACATGCCTTCAATTCTCCAAGTCTTTGAGCCCCTGAGCTCGAGCCCCTGAGTCCTTCACATCCAAGTGCCAAGTCCACGAAGCGTGGGTTTGGTCCAAGTCGGAGAATCCTGAGCTCTTGGAGCATCCTGAGCCCCTGGCCCAAGTAGATGCCTTCTGACGATCCCGGACGACCTGAAAAGACGGACGATCTGCCGAGGCATCGAAGATGCCGAATCCGCGTGACGAACGACGTCTGCAGACCCCGTGTGTCAACACATGAGTCGTATACGATCGGTTAACGGAAATCCCAGGCATGAACCGGAGAACATCTATCAGGGGGGATCTTTATGAATCCATACCATCTCAGCTGTGACGTCGGTCCAGCGTCAGCCTCCGTTTCAGCGAGCTTGCTGGCGAGTCAGGCGCACCAAAGCAAAGACACATGGTTCAGCACCTGGACATAAATATCAATCAGAGTCATATATCAAATATATAATGATAGATCAAACAGTTCGATTAAGACTTGGCTGGACATCAACCTTCCCATCCTTCTTGCCGGTTGATCCTTGATACTTTCGCCCTCCTGGGGTCCATGACTCCATGCACTTGGAAGCGGCCCATGCTGCAAAGCCGTTGGGTGACCAAGCGGCCCACCTCGGCGGTGTGGCCCCCATCCGAAGCGAAGGCCCAGAGTGACACGGCGTCCCGGTGGCGTGGTACAGTCCCGGTGGCCAAATGGCTGAAGATGTGCTACGGTACCGTGGTACGGTCCGTTGTCGGTCCAGTGCTACGGGCGTGGCTCCAGTACCGTGGTACGGTCCGTTGAAACGTGTGAACATGTGCTGAACAAGTTCCAGCAACGTCTTGGAGCAACCGGCCGGTGTCCAGTGATGTCTCCAGTTCTTGGAGCATTGGTTGGAACCGATGTGGGGTCGAAGCCTGGTCCACCAAGTGGAGGAAGACAGAGCCCCTGGGAAGTGATGTTTATAGAATCTAACATCATGTTCTTACATATATCATCTATAGTATCTAAACACACCTCACAAAGCTCTTGAATTTAGATGATATCAATGATATCATTGTTCAAATTCGGAGCCGCTGGGGTTCCACGTTCCGCAACAACCAATGGCTTCCCGGTGTTGAAGCCGATCGGCGCCGGTATTTGGGCGCTTACTTCGGCTGCGGCTTTGGCGCTTCGTTCGTGCACGGAAGAGTTCGGTCGCAGGATGTCGCGGCATTTTTTCCTTTTCAAAGCAGGTCTTTAAGACAGTCTCCTCGTGGGAACCTGTGGTCACTCAGGCTTGACACGGGTAGGAGCAGGATGGAGCCCTTTTTGTAAAGGATCCAAAAGGTGGGGGATCTCCATCCAAAACATGAGTTGAATGAGTTGGCTTTGATTCCACTGTGAGTCGTTGGCCACCTGAAGGCGTTCTTGGAGGCACCCACCCTGATCACCTACCACATCTGCTAATCTCACGTGCGCAACTGTTGAAGTCTGATCCTCATGCAGAACGGGTGAAGATTCACCTCAGGACCTCGATGAGCGCTCAAGTGAGCAGTGCTAAAGTGAGCACCACCTCTTCAGTTCTTAACCTCGTGTAGTTGAGATGTGGGATGGCGCGGTACAGCCAAGCCAACCAAACCCAGACCGGGCTATCCCGTAGTGATCCGTACAGCCCCGGTGCTCGCGTTGCTATTGGAGTGTGCGCCCTTTATGGTGGTGCTGTCGCCCTTATGGTGGTGCTGTCCCCTTATGGAGTCTGCACATGTCTGCACAGCAACCCTCGACCATCGACCATTCAGGATGTCGATTTCGCACGCGATATCAGCAGGTTGAGGCAACCTGTGACCAAGCCACACTCGGCGAACGTATTGACAGCTGCGTGGCCTTCACAGCTTCGACACTACGTTGGTTGCATTGGTGCTCAGACTTCGGCGTCTGGAGGCTTCCGGAAACATCCGGGAACTCTTGTTTTGATTCTTTGGAATGGTTTGATGTGGTGAAAAGACGAACCTCCAAACGCTCGGATCTCACTGATGGGCGAATCAGTGAATTTCACTCTTTCCCACAAAGCTGGCGTCTTATGAGAGGGAGGCGACAAGTGCCCCAGAGTTCACGAACATGTTTGAATCACTTTGGTCATCAACTCTATCACCTTTCCTTTTCAAAAGTACGATGTTTCTCTTTCTCGTCCGCATACCGGACAATCGCACTGTCGACGGACTCCCATTCTCTCAACGACAGTCTCTCGACATTATTGTATCCACTCGCCGTCCCAAAACTGTGCCAAAGGCAGCCAAAGCAAAACTACATCGCAGGATGGGGCCCTCCTCTCTGTTGAAATCTCAGGTCAGAAGACATGATCTGAAATGCGGGCGAAGACATTTCCTATAGTATAGCACCTTTCAAACATCGGGGAAGCAGCTTGCTCCTGCAATAATTTGCAGGCAATGTCTTTCTGATGACTCAATCGGGTCCAGCAACGCATGTTGCGATGTCAAGGGCACAGAACACACCACAACTAGACCAACACAGCAAAACTGCATATAACATGTACATAATATGTATATAACTAAAAAAAGCAATGACACAACAACAACACATATACAGTGACATCGCAAAGTATAGACAAGTGAAACATCCCCTCATACGTGCGTATTCAAAGCAGTTCCTGTCTACTTGGTGCAGCTTTAGATCGCTGATAGACGACTTACGTGCTAACAAGTGTGGATGAAGTTACATGGGTCTTTAAGATTCTTTTAGATCTTTAAGTCTGAGGCTTGCTCTCTGGGTATCGAGTGGCTATTGATATCAACCTAGCCATCACAATGCGTTTCAGCAAACATCCCCCTGTCAGCTTGTCGAAGTGGGTGCTACAGTAACAAGTCCAATGAGGTTCAAGGATGTTCGAAGTACATTTCAGTCACACGCAACTGATTGTATATACTACTGGAATCTTGGCGTGTGCTATTTTTTTGGCTGTGTTCCGTGGTGTCTTGGATCGTGCCAAGTCTGGATAAGCTCATCTGATCGACCAAATGCTGAACTGGATATAACTGGATGGGCCCCTTCCTGCCCCGATGGCCGGTTTTGAGTTGGCAAAATGCCTAGCGCAGATCTGCACGTGCCCCGCGCGCCCCACAACGGCCCCAAAAACAAAACACAAGCAACACTTCTTGGTTTGGCAACTTTTGCTTGTCCGAGGATGATTAAATCATCAAAGGCTGACTTGGAAAGGACAGGACAGTTTTTGCACGATGTGTCATGGTCCTACAAACGGCAATTAAAAACTGCTGGTGTATCATGTTTCAATGTGTTTCAGCTTGCTACCCACCAGCCAGCAATCTCAAATGAGTCCTCAAGTGACCTCAAATCAAAGCTAGGTTTTCAGTGGTTTCTCGCTTCTACGACCCAAGAAAAGCCTGCGTTGCATTTCTTTTCGTCAGCCTGAATTTGCCAACAACTCCAGACAAACCCAGGATCGTGGGCCAAGTTCTAAGATGAGGCGATTGATCTGCACAGAAATGGCGGGAAAGTGGGCCAAGTCATGCATTAGATGCAGCTTGGCCGAGCAGAGTCGCTCCCTCATAAATCAAAGCACCTGTACTTCTTCTGCACCCAACCCCTGTGGGTCCTGCCAAATGGGCGGAATCAGTAAAACACCTGGAGCCTCTAAGAGCACTGAAAATGACCGAGAAATGGGTCACTTAAAAAGCATGCAACATCTTGAAACCGTATGTGGGTGGGATTGGGTAGGCAACAAGGAGCCTCAACAACTAACGCCGGGATGTTTAGGCTTTAGGGTCCTTTCAAAGAGCATCCTGCATGGTAGCAACACTATAGGGTTGTATATTCGCTGAAAATCATCACCTACAGTACGACCACCTCCAGAAGCAAGGCTCTCCAGGACGAGGCCCCCTTCGGCCCAACCCGGTGGGCCCCAGGACGAAACCACTCGGCGTTGGTGGCCAGGTCCGGCCGGGTCCGGCCCTTTCGGGTGTTCATCCGGCCGTTTTGGGGGGGCCAAACGGTGCGGTCGGATGGAGCAGAACAGACGTCAATCTGGGGATTTCTGCCAAGAGTTTCGTGCGGTCAGCACGCTTGCCAGTGTGAAGCTGGACGGAACCGAAGAGGTGAGCTCGAAATCGACGTTCTCCATCCCACCAGGGAGGTGTTGTTCCATGTGTTTCCTATTTGGATCTATTTGGTTCCATCTTTCCACCGAACGACCGAGCCCTGCGTCTGGGCCTTGTAGACCATGAAGCTCACCTTGCATCCCACGGCCATGTTTCCGCTGGTGACGTCCTGGACGTGTTTCCGCAGTTTGAACATCCAGTATCATCCAGTTGGATCACGGGAGCCAACGGCCATAGCCCAAAGAGCCCAGGGTCTGGCTTCAGGTCTGAACACCACACGTCTTGGAAGGTTCATTCTCTCGGTCCCATTTCCTGGACCAACAATTGTTCTTGTCAGCTTGACGTTCCGAACTCGTGTCTGTGCTTCTGTGCCACAGGAAGCATTTCAATCATCCTCCATCCATGATCCTCTAAAGCCTCTAAAGATCCAAGGAAAAGAACATAAATCTCATTGTGCCCTTCATAGGAGTATCTTGACATGCCCCTCCCTCCAAAGAAAAAACTCAACATCTGCCGTCCTGCCTTTTGTTTGCCAGTTTGTGGAACCATGAGTTTGGGCATACCGGTTTGGGATGGCAAATGCTAGAGGACAAGGGCTGAATTTAAAGAACATAGGCAAACTGAATACCAGATACAAATACGTGCATCAACATACCATAGGGTACACCGGTACACCAATTGCTCCCAGAGCTTCAGTTTCGGACAGACCAAAACCAAAATTGTTCCCGGCCAATGGTCTATGGGATAGTACAATATAGTTCTTTCTTGGGGGAAGCCATTCCCAAATACACTGCCCAAAGCTTCTTGATGAATTGCGCCAAAATGACCCACAAAGGACAAGTAGCATGAAAGGCTAAACCATACATGGAAGAAAGCATGAAGAAAGCATGAAAACTCTATCCATCTAAATCTCGGACGATCCAAGGAGATGGACCTACACATGACCTACACCACTCCGGGATCTCCTGTGGATGCCCCAGCAAGTCTAGGTCCAGATCTCTCACACTCTCTCTCTCTCTCTCTCTAACTTCGAAGCGAAGTCTGCTCCAGCCAGGAGTTGGCACTTTTGCTTTTGGGTCTTCAATGGAGTAGTGAATTTTAGAATCCTTCAAACCTAAAAAGGCACCTTTTTTGCATCAAACACATGTGTTGGTCCTTCTTGCTCACGTAGAGCTTTCCTTCCCTCTGCTTGGCCGAGGGGTGATCGACCTCCCCCGCTGGCTTCACCCAGCCGAAGTTCTCCTCGCGCCGGTCGCCCGCGAGGCTGTGCTTCACCCAGGATGCAAAGGCGGACCGGGCTGTTGACCCGGAATCCCAAAAACGCTAAATCTTCAACTGGAATTCCAAAGGATCATGCAAGTTCTTGTGGACCAATTCGTCTACTGTAATATAAACATTATAAAAACATCTATGGCTGTGGGCGATGGCACTTCGGAAACCGGTCGCGGTTTTTTTTCGGTCAACCGACGTGCCGGGCCGGCTTTAGATGGCTTAGGGTGTCATTCCCCAGGGAGGTCAACCCACTAGGGCTTTAGATGGCTTAGGGTGTCATGACTCCACCCGTCCTTCCACTCTACCACTTCACCGGTCATCGGCGTCTCAGAGACCTTCTCGCGAGGCAAGTTCGGTCCGCTGCCTCCGCCCCACCTGGGCCGCCGGGTCGCCGCGCGGAACCCCCAAGAGTGGCCGGAGGGGTCCCCAAGGTATGGTGGTTGAACATGGCAACCACCATTCCTTCCTTTATCCTTTATAGTGGATTGAGAGTAGATGGCACAGACCCCAAGAGGGTGGTTATATGAACCCCCATGTGTTCAGGACATCTTGAGGGAAACGTGCCATCGAACCTCTGAAACCACTGTCCTTCCATCTCGTGATTGTTGGATGTGGCCCGGCTTCGATGGACCGATTGGCAAAGACAAACCCATGGGACCCTCCTGTCGGGGTGCCCTGTCCGGAAGACTATAGGTAGTGTGGGGTAGTTCATCGGCCAGGTATATATAATGTTAAAACTTTTAGATGATGTCTATGTCTATATGAACCCCTTTTCAGCCACCCAAATTGGAGTCTATGAGCGTTCCATTTGCATTTTCCCACTTGTGTTTGTGTCTGCCGTGGATGCTGATAGATAACCGGGTGTGCGTCTCTCTTGCTATATAAAGATATGTATGCGTGTGTGTGTGTGTGTGATATGACAGTGTACTCCAGGTGACCCCGTGACCCCTACGAAGGCAAACTTTGTCCGAACATGTCCGAAATGAAACAGAACTGATGGTCGAATGAGCTCTACCATTGGAACTACAAAGAGCAACCTAGGCCCTTGCTAAAGCAAACAATTTAGAGGCCAAGGGCCAAGGACCCCACAAAGTATGGCCTTTACTTGGCGTTTGCCGAGGACACATGGGGAACAACATCCTTCCGCAACACCTGTCAGTCAATTCAATAAACCCTTAAAAAGACCCTCCAACTGGTGGTTTTGAGATCCCAAAACTGGTCGCTGCGTTGCGGTAGCAGGATTCACCTACGGTGGTCCCGACAGTCGACCTGCGGTCCCAACATCAAGTGACTTCGTCTGACTTCGTCCGTCGTTCCTCCATTCGGACGAAATCTTCGGTGAAGTTTGCAAACTCCAAACAGCAAAGACCGTTGATTAATCTCCCCAATTTGGATGGTAAGACCTCTTCGTAGGGTAGGTTTTTGTTGATCAGTCTCCACTTTCCAGCTCAAACGACCGACCGACCGCGACCCCTCCACTGGTGGCTTGCAAGGGGCATCATGTTCCAATCCCAGCCCCAAAGAAGGCCGAAACCTTTGCCTTTGCCTTTGCCCTTTCCCTTCCTTAGACAGAAAGCCGCGTTGTTGAATCGATGAACAGACAAAGCGCATTGTCAGATCATGAGAGATCGATGAGCAGTCCAACCCTTGGTAAATGACATGAAGGAATGAAATAGGACATGGAAATCCTGTAGAGCTCGTTGTAAACAACACAATGAGATGGTGCGCGTCATCGCGTGTCCATCCACATCGGCCGTATGTCGACCACACGACCTCATGATCTTTCGCTCCAGGGGGTTGGGCCAACAGATTGCGGTTTTCTAAGGTGCACTCCTCAACACAAACATTGGTTTAAGGAAAATTCTGCAGAAAACCCATATTTGTTGGGATGAAATCCCTGGTTTCCCGTAGGTTATCCATGGTTATCCCTTCAATATCCTTCAATCAATTCTGGGATCCTCAACACAAACAATATCAAACATCAACCTGGTAGTCCCAATCACTGTGACAAGGGGCAACACATGGTAACTTACTGATACTTACCGTGTAACACATTGTAACACCACATTTCTGCTGGAGGCTGATTCGCCCCTGGGGTCGGTCAAACTCTGTGGGTCTTGGGGAGACTTGCTAAATGCAACAACCATCAACAACCTAGCTCCTCCAGCTCCCTCTGGTCTCTTGCATGTTTTTCATCCTGTCTTGCTCAAGTCTTGCTCATGGCGTGATACGGCGCGATGGTCAAGCAGAACGACCAGCTCGGGGCAACACGGAGCAACACATCACCAGGGCATACCTCACAACTCAGCAGCACCACCCTGCCCCACCTGCACTGCTCCCTCTCCCTCCCTCCCTCCCTCCCTCCTTGCGGCGCATCCGTCACTGCTCACGTCATCACGCCAAGTGGCCCAACACCCTTGGGCTTCGCGGCTTCGGCCACCATTTCGGAATCCTCCAAGGCTGACTGAAGTGGTTGACTGACGAAAACCTCCACGGGTAGGAGGCTACCCCAGCAACTCATGCAAACCCACTTTTAGTGGGTTGGGAGGCGGGCATGAGGCAATCTAACCACTCTTAATTCTGCGTGGGGCCGAAATCGGGTCGCTTCTGGATAGGATTGAGGAGGGCAAGGGACTCATTTGCGACACCAAATCTGACTCATTTGCGACACCACCACCCCCCTGTATTCCTCTCATGTACGACACCAAATCTCTCTCATTCGCGACACAGACACATACACACATATGATTGCAAGCATTAGGTTGGGTGGGACATTAGGTTGGGGTGGGGCATTGGGTTGGGGGGGGGGGGGGGGGGGGGTTTGGGGGGTGGGGTGGGACATTAGGTTGTTGGGCTTCAGAGTTTAGAGTGGCATTTGGTGGAATTGGTGTGGAGCTGGATTGGAGCTTTATGACTTTATGAGAACCAAGCAAGGGCCCAGAAGCACACAGATTCTCTAAAAGAAAAGCTCTCCGCGTCACAACTGAGAAAAGCTCTCCGCGTCACATTCGAGACAAAAAAACGCGTCACAACCGAGACCCTTATTGAGGAGGATTTAATTGATAATAGTCTGTTCAAATTCTGTCCATCCGTGGGCAGTGGAGGAGCTGCAAACCAGCCTTTGGAACTTCAGGCTCAGCCCAACACTCGTTCAGATGAGGAAAAAGGGTGACCCTAAGGATCAACAGAAACCTCAGCCTCTGTCATTTTGGCTGTGTATTGATGTGTCTACACACCCTCCACAAAAATGGCGGCACGGCATGATGCGGCGCCCCTTTCCCCAAGGGGAGGCAAGGGGAACGGCATCTACTCGGAGCAACTCTCGGAGCACCATCCGAGCCACCGCGATCTTGGGTCCACACATATATAGTCAACAGTCTACGACCCAATGTGCCCGAGTTCCACTTGCAGTGAGGCAATGGAAGAGTCAACCATAGTCAACCCGACACAGAACCTCAACGACTGGACCCCTGCTACATCCATCGACATCCTACATCATCCTGTATACCACTCATTTGTTTGAAAAAACTGGTTGCATCCATGATCCCATCACTTCCATGGGGTGCTTGCCACGGCTTGGACATACATGCCGCCCCCGTCGACCCCCGAAACGGTCGACCCAAAATGGACCTCGCTGATCTGCTTCAGGGCGATCTCTGCGGCGCTCTGCTCCGCCTGGCGCTCGGTGTGGAGGCGGAAGCGGAGAAAAGCAGTGAGCTGAAAGCAGTGATCCAATGGATGTGTGTGCATAAAGTGTAATGTAGGCTCTTGATTAGTAAACCCCCCCAGTTGAACTTCATATGAGGGGTTTATTCAGTAGTCTACATTGTAACAGATTTTCACATTTTGTAACCATCAAGGGCCGTTTCAATGGTGCCGAACATTTGTGGAGAGAGCTGATTCCTGGATCTTGCCAACTGAGGCCGCGCAAGTCGGCGGCAGTGGAACTTCGATCAAAAAGGCACTTAACTGCAAGATTGGTGTGTATCTGGAACCCGCGTTTGGTCGAATGTCGTATACTCAACCAAACTTGGGCTTCAGTGCCACGCTCCTCGTTTTTTACACAGAACTTGATGCACTAGTTACGTACATGCATATTTAACATGGCAGTTGGTACGCTTCAAACATTGGGGGGGGATGCAAGGGTTCCTGCAGCTACTGGAAAGCAAACTTGGCACTGCACACACGAGAATGAGGGACGGCGCATAGCCAACAAAGGATAATGAGGGACGCAACCCTTTCAGGGGACATCTTGGCTCTCTCGAACCACGTTTGCAAGCCAAAACGGAGACACAAGGCAAACATGGACATGCAAAAAGGCGCAGGAAGGCCAAGTAAAGCATGTTCTGCCATTCCATGTTTGTTTCAAGTGGCCACCCTCATTGAGGAAAGGAACATGCTTTTCTATTACATTTTTGACTATGCGCACTGCGCTGCGCAACGCAGCGCAAACCAACATGGAGCCCTCGGATGTAGGTGCGGAAACTTGCAAACATATATACACACATATATATAGTGCATATATATATATATATTCATATCATGCAATGTTTTCTTGCCATATTATGAGTCTTGAGTGAATATTTTTTGGGATTAATTACGTGATGTTTGGGTTTGGCGGTCTGACATCTGATCCGATTTGATCTGATGAACCAGGTGCTTTGGCTTTGGCTTTCACTCGAGATCTAGTCATCAGTTTTGACAGCATGTGATAGCATACAGCCCGCTTTACTGTATACCTGTATGCGGAACACTTCAAGGCCCTCTTGGGTTTGCATAAGGGAGGTGTATGGACGTATCAAGCATGGATTGTTGACAATTGTGCTCGAACTAGCTTGACAGCCATGATGTGAGGTACCACTTCCAGCCCTGGTTTGCTCATGCTCCGTTATAGCGTTGTAGCCATGTACCTACTGCCTACTGCGGTGCAACTGCAACTGCCTCGGGGACCTTGATTCCAACTGAGACCTCAACCACACTCACCTCGCACAGAATCGGTCATAAGTTTATACCGTCCCTCGGAAAGGCCTTCCACATGTCCGGTAGGACACACGATGTACCAAATGCCAAACGAGTGAAAACACGGCTGGCACATGGGGCATGAAGCCCGTGGGAAACAGATGGAAACTGGGTCCTACGGGTCCATAAGGGTCACAATACGGCCAGGGAACTTTGGGTTCGCGTGTTGCGAGGTGGTTACATTTGGGAAGCCTGCGTCGATCATTCTTCCACATGCGCTCACAGTCCCAGATGCATTCAGCAACGGTGCCGGCTGCTGTGACCACCGGAGGCTGATTGCGCGGACGGTAGAGCCGACATCCTTCGGGATGACCAATTTCGACAGCTATCATAATCATCATAGTGCCGGAACGAGCCCGCGTGCAAAGCAAACACGAACGCGCAAGCCATCAGCGGGTACGGCTCCTCACGCAAAACACGTCCGCGCTCGGGGGGGGATTGTGAACGCCGGCGGCCTTCTGTTTGGTAGAGCTCACATGGCCAGCCCACACGCGATTTCCCCACTCGCCGGGCAAGGCTTTGAGCTGCACGGTGGCCTTCGTTTCAGCGACGACGACACGGTCCGGACGACGGCGAAGGGGTTCTTCGTTGCAATGTCGCGAACCTGGACCTATCCTGTCTGGGTGTGCCTGGCGGGAGATCCCCAACAAATGTGCAGCAGTAGTCCAAAAAACGAGGGTGCCCCCTGATTTCCGGATGGGACTTCAGGTTCGAATTTTACAGGGAATCAGGAATGGTCCAATCATTGGAGGATCCAATTTGATGACTTGGATCACTTTCGCCTTCTTGCCCGTGGATCACTGAGACCTCGTGGTATCTCGTCATTGTTCAACATTTGAGTTGGGGACCCAGCCCAAAACGCCTGGGAGTTCGGACCTGTCCTTGATGGAACTTGGAACAAAAAGGTTGGGGACTCCAAACTCCAAATCTGGCCGCTTTCCAACCGCTTTCTCCACGGCCCCTCTCCAGCGGCTTCGACCGTGTTCGCCACGTCTTCGACTCCCACCGACCATCGCCTGGTGGCCGCCGCCGGCGTAGGTCTTGGTCTCGTAGATGGTCTCACCCTTTTGGAGATAGCGCTTCGCAATCTTCATCACCTCACGAAGACGTCCAGAAGTTGAATCTTGAGACTTTGAGACCATCTATAGATTGGATGGACCAGCAGAATCGTAGCGGGCTGGACGAAATAGCTTCAAGAAGGCTACCTGGATTTGGCCGAGTTCATGGTGAGTCCACCACAGAGCATGTGCTGATGACAAATGGGGGTTTGTAGTGGCACTGCGTGATGAAGCGGATCGAAGAGCTTATTATTGTGGGGCTCCATGAAAGTCCAAACTCTATTGTCTTGCCCTTTCTTCAGACTTGACATGCATTGTATGCACAAAACATGGTCAAGAGTATTATAGGTAGGTGATGGTGGGTGGGTATGCTGCAAACTGAGAACATGAAACGGAGCGCTCTGGAAAGAAAGTCATCCATGTTGGACGGCGTTGCCCACGCCAGGCACCTTCCCATCCCTTTCCCAAAGCTGGTTCAAGAGGAAAGGGTGGCTTGAATTTCTGCAGTCAGGTGGAACCCTCGACATACAGTACTTACTTGTCTTGGCAGAAACCTTGTCTCACCATGCCCCGCAAAAGCACTCCGAGACGGGAGACCACGAATCCGACTGACCCACGAACCGGTCAGAAGACCAACCGCTCCAGCCCAGTCGCCAGGGCATTGAGCTTCCTTGGTCAAAGCGATGCACCAAACAGAAGCAAAAGGACAAACACGGTGGTTTTAAACAGTGGCATCCAAGCGTATGGCCTACTACTTGTGTACTATATCACAAGTTGTATCTTTTTATACGGTTAGTTATACACTTGTCGCGAAATTGGGTGGTTGTATCACTTTCAAAAAAACAACAAGTATACAGTATACGTACCTACCCGTCCATTTTCCATCTCTCTAGTTGCGCAACCGTTCTTGGTGAGCCTTGTGGACTTCTGCGTTCTTAACATGCCGATCACATCCCTAGGAACCTTCGAGGAACCAAAAAGGCCATCTATACAATAAACGAACATGGGGCTTTGTGGGGCGGCTGGGTCCATGACTTGCTTTTCACACAGGTGGATGGTTCTTGATAATCAATCGTGCTCTCATTGGTTTAGACATGGTCCCGTGGTTGATTCATCTGAGATTTGCTGATCATAATAATCAAGCACTCCGAAGGTAAAGACAAATTTATAATGACATGTTATCCATTGTTGCGCTTCAATGCAAACTATAACACAGTGCATACAATGATTAGGAGCCTCTAATTGCCTGTAACTTTCGAGGGCACCCGCGAATTTCTCGCATGAACCCTGATCCTTCCGTGCCCAGCGGCGTCTTTGGTGTGACCGCAGGGTTCTCACCCTCCTGCGACACCGTGCACTGCAACCCACGGTGTGACCCGCGACCCAAGCAGGCGAAGACATGTTGTCGGGTCGAACTTTGGGTTTTGTGCATTAATTCGACCACCATGGCCTGGGAGATGCCTACGGCTCATGCACCGGCTTGGGTTGCACCATCATATAAAGGAATCTAAATGGGATCTACCAGGACCCTCCTGTCGGGGTGCTCAATGGAAGCCTATAGGTAGTGTGGGGTAGTTCATTGGACACCCCGACAGGAGGGTCCTGGTATAAGAGGTATCAGTGGTTGAGCATTTAGGCTGCCAGGTGCTAAAGGCAGCAAGCTCAGGCAGATCCTCGCACCCTGCCAGCTGGAGGCTTGCACCCTGAAACAAAAGATAAACAAAAGTACACTCCTTGGAAGTAACGGGGAAGTGGAAAATAGCCCCCTTTGAAAGACAATTTTCCCATATTTTCCCCTACCATCAGGGAGGGTTTCAAGGGTTTTCCACTTCCAACTTAAGTGTAGGGAGAGCATATACAATGCAAGACTGTGTGTCCAGTAGTTGTGCGCATGTTTTCGGAAGCCTTCCCGAAAGAAACAGTGATTGCTTTTGCTCCATCGTGGAAGGGAATGAGTTCGAGGTGTTGCTCGAAAATCTTGAACGCAACAGCTTGGGGAAGAACGGTTGTTTGCAAAATGCACAGTCTTGTGTCTGAGGGCCGGGATCTGCTCCTTTCTTTCTAAGGGCATGTATATATATATATATAGTCTTTAGATGTCTTTAGTATGCCTCAGTGAGTCATAGTCGTAGTTTTGTCAGACCATGGAACCCCAGGGAACCGGGTTTGTGAGACTAGTGATGCCGAAGCTGTTTCTTCATGTCACTGTGAAGCACCTGCCAAGACATGGTCTCATCTAAGTGTTCAAGCAAACTGACACCCCTACTCTCTTCCCGCTGTGCCATCTACAGTGCACCGCAGGTAGCCCTACTTTTGATTCTTGTCTTGGCAAACCACCACTGAAGAATCTCTACATATAGTAGCTGCTAGTGGCCTGTGGTGAAAACTTGACGTCGGGTCGGGCAAGGTAAGCAATCTCAGCCCCATCAACCTGTGCATACTCTGGAGATATGTCTCGCTCCTCTGCTTGCTTGGCCTTCTTCGCAGCCAGTTCGGCAGGAGTCAGCCTGGCAGCCACGAGCGTCACATCCATTCGAGGCTCAAGGGCCAGGATGTCCCAACGTTCTCAGACGTTTATGTTATACAATGCCGAACGATATTTTAACATTTTTACAGGGAAATACTGTATATAGCTTGGGGGAGTGAACACCTTGGTTTCCTGTAGATTAATTTTCCCTTCAACCAATCCATTGAAATGTACTGCACCTGCTGATTCAACCAACTGTTCAACTTCCTCACTTTCTCCCACTCCTCGCCTCCCTCTCTCTGCGTTTGTGCAGTTTCGTCACGTGAAACAAATCATCGTTTGTTCAGTGCTATTATCCTTGTTCCCTACTCGATAAGAAACAATAGATAATAAATAGATAATGAACTTGTTGTCTCAACTCCACGACCGTCTTGTTCTGTTCTTGGAATTCATCCTTCCATCCCTCCGAGCGTATCATGTTCTCGGCTCCTGACACGTCTTAAACAGGGTGCTCTGGTCGCGCCACCATATGGTCAGTCACGCCTGCCCTTCCTGTGGCCCCCTTGGTGGGCACGAGTGCCACATTTATGCACTCATTACTCATAACTACTCTCATAACTGGATACCCGCTGCAGGACAAACTGCCAGAGGGGCGGCTGATGTTCAAGGCCCTGAATCAGTTGAAAACAACCCAGCATCATGATGCCCCGCATTTGCAATCGGAGCGGGAGCAAGCACTGACTGACAAATAATTTGACTTTGGAGGCGGCTGTTGATTTCACAAAGCAGCTCCAGCAAATGGTGCTGTGAAATACTAGTTAGTCGCTAATAATCGACCATGAACAAGCTTTGGGGGTTGGTGAGGTCTGGAATGTTCTGTATAGGGGTCAGGCCCTGAATCCACATAATCCCAATTCTTCAGGTCTATTCCCCCTAAGCCAGCACAAGCCGAGCACGAGCACCGCTGTTGCGACGGACGGCCCCCGGAGCGCTCGAACGGCCTTGGTCTCTCCTTCTTCTTCTTTGGATCCTTGTGGGGAAGGACTTGGAAGACATGAAATTTGGTAAAATGTGGCAAAGGAACATTGAACACCCCTGCACCTGCAAAACATGGCTGGTTTGCACCTGTTTTACTGAACATATCATATATCTGTACATCTTTTCTTTATCTAACGCTGTCCTATGTGAAATGTTTCCAGGTCCGATACCCTTTTCACTGGGGAGGTCCCTGCCCTTGTATTTGCATGAGAAACATACGCTCCCAGTATCTCCCGGTGTCTAGTTGGCTACTTTGTTGAGTACACTCCCCGGAACTAACATGGTTACGTGGAGAATGGCCCCGAAAGGAAGACCATTTTCCACTGCAAACAGGTGGTTGTCCACTTCCATGTGAGTTCCAGGGAGAGTCTTTGTCTTCCAGCTCTTAAGAATGCTCCATGGCCTGGGTGCCGAAGGACCGTTGCCTCTGCTCGAACGCAAGGACGTGTCGAACACGTACCGCGTACCGCGTACCCACACTGTTTCGAACACTGACCGACCTGAGGAAATGGAATGGAAGATAATTCATGAACTTCAAACACTTCGGCCACATGGTGACTGTTTCCCTTAGGCCTTGCCTCAGCCAAACACTACGTAAGTCGGATGACCAAACGCCTAGCCAAGCCCATTCAAACAGCAAAATCCCATTCAAACGGAATCCAGTTCCCGGGCCAGTTCCCGCGCTAGAACGGCACGAACCCCGCGCTAGAACGGCACGAAGCCCGGTGCCCGGAGGTCAAAGGGATGGGTGAAAGAGTGAACAAGCCAAGCAAATGTTGCAACATGGATGAGCAGCCTTGGCGAGTTCGTGTTTTTTGATGTTTTTTGGGCCACATCTTGCCACTGGATCGATCAAATCATCGCCAGCTGCTGGCATTAAGGTAGGTTGACCTGCTGTGAGGCAAACACGACAAATGACTGATTCAATTCCCTCACGGTTGAAACAAATCCAACGTGACCCCTCTTGAGAGACATTATATGGTATTTCATAGTATTGCTAGTAGAAGGTTACAAACCCTTGAAACATCTTGAAAACTATTCCCCACCCCTCAGCCCCGCCACTTCGGCCCACCTTGGATGCTGGTGGAGGAAGTGAGGCCATCTGCGGGCGGAAGGCCATGACTGCTTGCTCCGCCGCGGACTTCTCCTCAGAGAAAGGCGGTATTTCAAGAGACGCCACATGGCTCCGGAGAAAACTCCTCCAGACATCCCCTGGAGCTGCAGACTCCGGTCGCTAGTAGGTTGGAGGCCATCGCTACTAGTAGCAAGAAGCTAGCAGGTTGGAGGATCCCCTGGAGCTGGAGACGCCGGGTGGGGCGTTCTCCCTGCACTTGCTGGGGATGTTCATGAGCCGACGACCCCTATGCAGGGATGGTCACCATCTCTGAAAGCAACCGCTGGGATGACCAAAGCAACCCCGGCGTTGGTGCCTGGACTAACAGACTCATGAATCATCATATCTCTGCATGTCTGCTCCACTGTCTGCTCCCAGTCAACTGTACACTTCGTCGGGATAAATTGGGCTCCGCATACGAGTCACCCTCACATGTCCATTAAGGCTGCCGGATTGGATTGATGGCCTGGCGGACCTGCCAAACGACGTGGAGAGCAGTTGGCCCTGCCCACACCGCCAAGGCCCAGGTATTCCTTGTGGTGCCGACCAATTGCGGTGTTTCGACGCAGCGGAGCAAAAAAAAGACAGCTCCCAACGTGATGGGTCAGGGATCGATTTTTTGTTTATATATATATATATCTCTCTCTCTCTCCCTCTCTCTCTCTGTTCTGATCTGTTCCTTCAGATCAATGTTAAGTGGATCCCATGATCCCCAAGCGCCAGATTCCCGACCGTGCCAAATTGTTTGGGCTGGATCTGCCAGTGTTCGGCACCTTCCAGTTGAGCACCACTCCTGTAGAATTCTCCCCCTTCCTGTGCCAGCATTCGCAGTGTGACCACATGTTCAATTGTCTTAACAATAAACTGTATAATTACACACCTGGTCGACCCACCTGGTCAGTTCCAGCACTGAAGCAAAACCCTACATCTTATACCCAAGAAAGTTGGAAGAGTCATCTTGTGCCCTTGCTGTTATAAGTTTTTTCCTATTGTATGCAGCCATCCAACCCCCCACACATATCTACTTTGCGCCAGGCGGCAGCCTCCTTTTGGTTCAGGCACAAGTGACCGGCATACTCTTGGCCCTGGCGGGGAGAACATGACGTTAATCCAAGCACTGGATCCAAAGACTGCCCTGCAAGAGGGCACCCCTTGACTGAATCGCCCACACATAGACTTACAAAGACGTGGATACATGTCATATCACATCACATATCCAATGGTCCAAGGCTCCTAAAAATCTAGACTCTAGACCCACACAATCTCGACAACTGGCTCCCTTTTTGTCTGTTTACTGTGATGGTTTTGGTTGAAATTGAGCCTTTGAAGGAACAGGGTTGCCAAAGCTGCCAGTACATCGAATGGGTATGACATGAGGCTGCAGAACAACTCTGAGAACAAACATATGTATTCCCTCCACGATGGGGGCTCCGGACTGTTCGCCTCAAAAACCCCCTCCCTCAATTTTGAGTTCGAACACTTCAAATTTTCATCCCAAAGAGTGCTCGAACCAGGCCTGAATGCAATCCAACTTTACGATGCTCTGGTACCTGCAACATGAGACAAAGACTGAAACAAAGAGCCTCTGATGACTCAAACTAGCCACTTGGGAGTCCTTTCCTTCTCAATCCCAAGCTCATGACATTCTCTTGGTGCATTGTTCAGTGCTTCTATAGCCGCGCATGTGGAACTGAGCCAAGCACTGATTGCCAAACTTGTTGGTCGTGTATGAAATATCCTGGGCACCCGATCGGAGGCTATTTTAAGTTGGACTATCCAATATGACTGGACTATCCATCATCCAGGATTGAACGAAAGTTTTTGGTTGCAACGGCGCAAGGTTGAATTCTGCGGGGGGCCACCAGCGGAGTCTTTTCATGTGGATGAACCCGAGCACTATCCAAACAACACACACACACATGCTCAGTCAAAAACCGGTGCCGGCCGGCTGCAAAGGTAGTGATCAACAACCACAGGGACACAACAAATCATGTAAATTACTGTCAGTTTATGTCACATATGATGTGTAGTAAAATCAGGTTCACAGGGTGTTCCTTCCTCAATTCCCAACACATCAATTCGCTCTCCTGGTTCTCGAGGGTGACCGGTTCCCTCGGTCTCGGTGCCAAGACACCGCTTTGGTGACCGGCCGCTGGCAATAGCGTTGGCAAAAGTGATTCAGCTCCTGGCGTGTGGCGCTGGAAGTCCCGGCACTGAAGGGAAAGCGGAAAGCGAGGAATCTTCGGTCAGGTTTGGCGGGGTGTCGGATGTGAGCCATCTTGAGGTGCCACAGAGTGGGCTTTCGAGAGCAATCACGTTGCGCCAAAGAACTTTCAGCGGGGCGATTTGCACAAAAAAGGAGGATGTCTGGATTAGGTGATTTCCCAGGGCTGTTGGCATTATACACCGGATTGACAGATTCACCCACAATCTATCCAATGCACAATGCACGCAACTTCCCCAAATCAAAGGACATGGGAGCCGCTTCGCACCGTCTTGGGATCCGTGGCGGCCGTCATGCCCGGTTGAGCCTCAGTGGAAGACGGACGGACCGTCCCGGTGCGGACGGACCGTGGTGAAATGGCTTCCAAGTCGACCGCAGGTGTGGTTCTATTGTGGGATAGGCTATGGAGAAAAGCATGTGACTTATGACCACCATGAAGTGATCTCCGATACAGTAAGAAGGAGTGAAGCCGGAGTTCATACATTTACATGACATGCAAACTTGTATGAGAGCTGCCTCTTAGGGAGATTGATGAGTAGTTTTGAGTGGTCACTCTACTTACTTGAGGCCACTCTCCAGCAAGCAAATCCACACCCAACATCCACACCCATGGCACGTTCTGCCAGGCTACCATGGCCTGTTCTGCCAGGTTCAGGCGAAGCACACGGGCGGTCGGTCTCGGGGTTTTTTGAGCCCGAAGAGTCCGGGGACTGACGGACGCGCCGGCCGGACGTCCAGACGTTTGCAAAGCCGGACGCGAAGTCCGTCGGGCGAGACGGATAGGGTCTCATGTAAACATAAACTGAAAGTTGGGTGGTTTGTGTACATATGAACACTGGAAGTTGCATACCCATCCATGATTGTCAATAAACTTCCATGTGTTCATATGTATTCAGCATGCAGAATTATCCACTGCTGGTGATGCTAGGACGTATTCCAAAGATCATGGATGGAAAATGGAATGCATCTACCAAACAAATCGCCCAACAAAGATCAACAAAGCCCCATGTTCAGAACACGTCCCAGATTGTCCTAGTGACCTGTGTTAGTATGAGGTCCGGTTGCCTCCACACCCTGTGCCATCCCTTTCAACACCAACAAATCGGTGGTTGCGGTCCTTGCGGTGATCTGTTTCAACGTCGTGATTGGTCACTCCCATGGAAGTGGACTCAATTACATGGAAGTGGACCGCCGCGGTTGTTTTGTGGAGGACATGTCCCCCGAGGGGGCTATTTTCCACATTTTTCCACTGCCTTCTTAGTAACGCGTGCAAAGGATCTTCCATTCCAAGAGAAAGCGGCACCAACATCCGACACCGCCACCAATGGCGACCAGCTTCCAAGCAGAAATCAAAGGGTTCCACGACTGCAGTTGAACATATAGTTGAAGCAAACTTTTGGGCATCACAACTCGGCCATGTTGGCCAAAACCAAGAACGGCCATCGAAAAAATCACCTGGACAAAAAACACTGGATCTGTGAACCATGCAATATCATAGCATATGATACCCCTAAAGATCCCAAAATGAATTGGGATTACTTCAAGCCGCCTCTGACAGGTTGAGGATGCCCATCGCCCGGTTTCGGTGGAGGGACGCCCTTGTTCATTCGTCTATCTGTAAAATATTGAACAAATACCGCAGAATATCGCATAAATTCGCATAATGTAAAAGAAATACCTGCAACTGCAAGGGGTCCCAACATGTCCTAAGTATGTCAATTCTGAATGTCTCTGTTCGTTCTGGTTGGCGGAAACCACTGCGGAAGCAGCGACTGCCTGTTGATCCTGCCCAGGGCAATAATGATAGCTTGTGATGCTTGGTTCCACTTTTGAGGCACACATTGGAGAGACTGTCTGTGTCGTGGCTCGGAGGAATGTCGACGATTTTTTTCCGAAAGCTCCTTGCTAAGGCACCCAATTCACGTTCTGGCTGAACACCCAAGTTTTCCGGATCACCAGGGTAAACCTTTATTACTAGTTTGTCACCAATCCTCAGTTGAAGGTCTGAGAGTGACTGGGACTGGATGTGACGTTCTTTCAGACAGCTGTATGCAATATGTCAACTCCAGCAAGTCAGCCGATGAACACTCGAGCACCTGAGAAAAAGCATTGCTGCAACGACACGAACGACACCAAAGCCCATCCGCATCGAACAACGGCCCCTGTATCAATGTAACAAGTCTGCTGTGCTTCATGTCTTTCAGAAAAGGATGCCCAGAAGATCACAGCAAGAACATGATGGCTTTCGTCAGTGTTTAAGGTAGCTTGACTTCCTGTTTTTGAGCCATGCCGGCACAGGGATACAGGGACAATCTGCATGGTTGACGGTTGACTTTGTCTCGCTTGATGAACCTAGGGGTATATATATAATATTATATATATATAGGAATATAAGATTGTGGAAGACGGCTGGTTTTGAGCCACCCAAGTAGCCGCCCCCCTCCATCTTGGTGCGACACATTCCCGCCCGCGCCCACCACTGCGATGGTGTCGCCGTCCTGCACCTGTGAGGCTGCAGACTTCTTGCGATCGACGCGATGTTCACGGCCACGGTGCGGCCCACAAAGTGCACCATGAAGCCTCATGTCATAGTGTCCCTCAAGTACTGAAAACCCTCCACATCCTTCAACGGACTTTGTCGGGTTTCCCTGGAACAAAAGGCATCCATGGTTCATGGTTATCCACTGACCGGCTACCGGTCCAAGTGTTGCCACACCGACCATCGCCGCCGGGGGAGGTATCGGAGTTCGCCGAGGACGCATCGAACCAGCGGCATACCCACACGGGATCACTCGGGCACAAGACAGTGTCCCAAGATCTTTAGGCCATCGAATTCTATCCGTTTTTTGGGTGTCTGCCCACAGCGAGAAGAAGCTTTGGGGCCAACGAGGCCAGGTGCACGTATCGTCTTGCACTGGTGAGGTTCTGAGGTGTTTCGAGGACGTCAACATCATGCATTTACATTCCGTCCACCCCCAAAAAAGGCAACATCTCTTCGTTCAGCAATGAACGGAAAGAAACCAGCTGATGGCACCGTTCTGGTGATCTTGCATGTTCAAAGGTCAAATTGGCTCGACCATTGATCTTGACCTGCCTGCAAGGGCCCTCAACTGGGAACGCCCCTTAGGTGCCCCTGCTGGGCCGCAGGCTGCGCGCCAAACGGAGGCCACGCGCGACTTGCACGAATCACTGCCACGCGCCCTTGGCAGCTGAGTGTGGCCCCACATCAAGTGTTGCGCAATTTGCTCGACATCTTCATAAACACCTTGAGGTTTGCAGAACTACCATGACCCAGCCTTCAACCACTTCTTCTCGTGATACATGTTCTCACGAAATCATCCATGACCGAACCCTGCAGCTCCTACCGTGCCCCCACCTGGCACCGCGTAGATGGCCCCGCCACCCTGCCGGCGACACGAGGCCGATCAGGTCCCTTCCCGCTCAGATGGAACGCGCCGGGAGCAATGAGCCTCTGGAAGAGGAAAAGTGCCATTTCTCTTACCGGGTTCCTGAAACATATATGGGGGAGCACTACTGAGTCAACTCATGAGAAATCCCAACAAACCATGCAAAGATCACGGCAGACTGGGCAAAAAACAAAGGCACCCGAAAGGCAACCCCCCAAGAAAGTACACTCCGACTCACTAACTTTAACATGGAACAAACCACCCCGTTCATAAGGAACATAGTCATCCAAGGGTCCATTTCCATTTTCCACTTCCATGTGTGTGAGCCGGAGGGTAACATTCTTTCTCGTTTCTTTTGCCCCAACTGCGAGGCAAAATCCATCCATCCACGGCCGAGGTGAGCATCGGAAAGCGAAACCGTGGCAAGCGTAGCGTCGGCAAGCATTGGAAAACGTGGGGCCCAGGTTCTACATGTCCGTCTTCATTCTCATGGTGGCATGGATGGCATGGCCCCCACATGATGACCATGTGCATCTATGTTCCGCCCCCAACCGGTGGTTTTCAGTGGTTGTCCACTTCGATGATTCCAGGGTTCGTGCATTCCATCTGGGATCAAATACTGGATCAAATTCCCCTCCTGAGCTTGACTCAGCTTGACTATACCCCTGAGAGGTCTCCAAAGCAAGGATTTCTTTTAATTAGTTTTATTAATATTTAAAAAAATATATATATATAACTAACCCCGCTAACCCCCTGGAGGGATGGAAGTGACCCTGTCGCTAGGGCGGTGGCGGTGACAGCTGGAATCATTGGTCAGCAGTGCCCCATCTGCTTGAGGCTGGCCGTTTTGCTAAGCAAAGGCGGGCCATGCTACCCCAGATCCGAGCATGCCGCCCTAAACTCATTAGCCAAACATACAAAACAGTTTCTAATAAACCAGGCGTGATGCAATATTTATAAAATCCCCACTCGAGAAAGGTTGCAGTTATCATGATGTCCATTGGCCTCCAAGGTGCAAGTGCGCACAATCGCAAGGTAGTCCCTCAACCCACTGGGGGTGTCTTTGGGGTAAGAGCGCTGGAACAAGGTTCTAGGCCACGCGCCTTGCAAACAAAGGCCGCCCACGAGGCAAAAACCTCCAGTCAACGTTGACAATGACGTCAAAACCTTGTGTCTGGCCACATGGAGAACTGCATGCTTTCTCGCAAAAACATCCCATGCAATGTGGCAAACACACATTCATTGTTGGACAAGAAGCTTCACTACATGTATATTCTATACAGTACACAAAAACCTCACAAGCCAAAATGCAAACAAAACCTTTTGACATATATGTCGACCAAACGTATGTTCCACCCCAGCCACTCACGGCTACTATGGGCCACTGCTACATTGGTACAATACCTGACTTGCTTTCGGATCTGCCTGCGATCCAGTGATCGGCACCAAAGACCTGTCAGAGTGCAGGGAGCGCCTCCCACACTCCACATCGATGACGACACTCATTCCATGGAAGTGGGTGATGTGGATGGCAATGGCTGGCATGGCCCCTTGAATGACGACCTGACCTGCCTTTACTGATGAAAAGGGGGTGCCATTCGCTTCGATGCCATGTGTTCGTCGGAGTGTGTTCCCTCTTCGCTACATCCCACTGGAACCCGCCCATCACACTGCAACAAACTTCGACCTGGCAAACACTATGCTAGAGCCACTAGAGGCGCCCACTGGTCCATGATGTTTCATGCGCATGCGTGCCTTGCCTGCGGCCCGCGTGACGCGTGCGCGTGAGGCACCACAGGCGCTGCCGCTGCTCGCGGCCTGCGGACCGGACCGGTCGTCCGGATTCACAACGAGAAGCTGCGAAGCATCGGACCTGCTGGAAGCATCGGCATCGAAGAACTGAGTTCTGCTTTGTTCCCGAAAGGCATGTTTTCTTTGTACCTCCTCGAAACGGTTTTCAAGGTTCGGCGAAATGGTTCGGGAGATAGTGCGTTGGAATGTATAGTTTGGGTTTTGGCAACCATGGTTAGGGTTAGCACATGTTTGCACCTCCTTGTCTGAAACCAAACCAGTGAGTTGGGGCGCCAAAGGGCAAGAATCATTCGGATACTGCGTGGTGTTACCCTGCACATGCAAGTCCCGAATAGGAAACGTATCTACACCCAGGGCTGCACTCAGAGGACGCAGAAGAAAGAATGACCTTGTGCCACCCCAGGTCACAGCTGTC